CCTCCCCCCACCCCCCACCCCGCCAGCCCTGACCCCTGCCCTCTCCACTGCCAGGGCAGGCTGGGTAAAGCAGAGTGGGCGGCACCAAGGGTCCTGGGGGTGGTGGTCCCTGCACACCTGCACAGTCTGCTCCTTCCCAAGATGCCGGGGGCAGGGCGCGGGCACTGGTCACCCGCTTCAGAGGCTGTACCTGGAAGATGAAGTGCTCCTCGAACTGGGGGCTGGAGGCTCTGCACTTGGTCTTGGTGTGGAGGACGCGCCGCTCGTCGGGCAGCAGGTGCAGCCTCACCACAGTGCTGCAGGTGTCCGTGGGGGCGCGGAGCCGACGCGCCTTGACCAGGCCCACGAGCAGCCGCTCGGCCTCCTGCTGGTACTCCACCCAGAACCACAGCCGCCCCAGACAGCCGTCGGGGAAGTCCGTCTCACTCGTGTCCTCTGGCACCGTGTACAGCTCCGGGTTGATGGTCCCTACGACACCTGCCTCTCCTGCAACAGACAGGCTGGGGAGGCTGGTGGCCCGAGGCGGCAGGGGTGTGGGGACAATGGCCAGCTCTGGCCACCCTCCCCATCCTGGCCAGTTTGCTCTGCTGAGCCCCTGTTAGCATGTCCCTCCCCTCTAGTGCAGCTCCCTGGCATCCTCAGCATGGGGCACTGAAGCCCAGGTAGGGGTCCCTAGCAGGGTCCAGAGGAGTCAGTGGACATGTGTCCTGTGATCCCGGGGCCAGGGTCTGCCTTCAGGGACGCAGCACCTAGCACCTGGCCCAGCCCCTTTCCAGCTGCCTAGAGAATGGTTCTGTGATAAAGTCACCTTATCCCTCTTCTTCAAATTAGAAGGGCTACGCTGATGAGTGGGGGTTCCTAGGAAGGTCTGGGTGCCAGAGGACTGTTCCAGCTGCTGCCAGGCTGCTCTTCCAGCCTGGAGCAGGACTCAGCGCTCGCTCTGCGCCCGAGCACGCGTGAGTCCCCATGCCACATCTGTCCCTGGCTGTGGCAGTGACCTTGTAAGACACTGCACCGTCCCGGGCCTTGGCTGGTGAGTGCGTGAAATGGGTGATGGTTCCTCTTTGGCAGGGCTATGGTGAGACCAGTGCCAAGCGAGCATGAGGCTGCATTTCACGGGCCTGGGGTGCAGAGAGCACTTGGTGAATAAAAACCCCCAGAGAGTGGTCACTGGGCACTTCTGGCATCCCTGTTTCAGAGGCGGGCGGGGAAGAGATGGGTCCACCTGACCCGAGCAGGCTCTGAGCCCTGAGCCTGCAGGAGCACTCACCACGTTTGCTGCTGGAGGTGGAAGGTGGGAGCTCCAGGGCCGGACAGCTGTCCCGCGGGGCCTGGGCCCACTCTGCTCTGCGCAGGGGCACCTGGACTCGGCCTTGCAGGGAAGGGGGAACCACGAACGGCACATCGGGTGGGCTGTCCAGAGGCAGACAGACGATACATTTGTGGCGGGTGGGGGGGGGGGGCCGCGTGCTCAGCAGGAGGGGCGTGGGAGCAGGGGCAGGCAGCAGGAAGCCGCACGGAGCCAGAGCTGGCAGAGCACCGTGTTCTGGGTCCACCCTAGGCACGCACGCACACGCACACGCACACACTCGCAGCGAGAGTCAGGCCCGTCTGCCCAAGGCAGTGGGTGCTGGAGAAAGAACGCAGCCTCGGATCCTCCCTGCTCGCTGTCGCTGTGTTACCCAGACCTCCCCCTGACCTCTCTGAGCCTCTGTTTCCTCAGCTGGCACATGGGCTTCAAAATGCCTGCCTAATGACTTGTGGGAGGTTTGGGGGGTTCTCTGTGACAGCTCCCAGTGTGGAGACCACGAGGGCCCAGAGGGGCGCCCCACAGACAGGGCTTCCTTTCCCACCACACCCAAGGGGATCTACCCAGGGAGGTGGCAGAGCAAGGCCAGGCACCCTGCCTCACCTCCTCGGTGGAGTCCTGGCATGCGGCTGCCCACCACAGGTGGCCGTGGGGGTCATGGCTGATGTCCCTGGCAGCTCCTCATAGGTGACAGTGGCACACAGCCTCTTCCACAGATAGCAGCTCACCCCGATCAGCAGCAGCAGCAGCAGCCCCCCTGCCACGCCCCCAATCACTGGGGCCAGCTGCTCTGGGGACAGAGACCACCAGGACTGCCTAGACTGCCAGCTGGCCAGCTCCCCCTCCACCCCTGGCCCCATGGCATATGGGACCAGCAGCACTCCCTGGGCGGATCCCTGTCTGCTGGGGAGGGGAGATGCTGGCTCCCTGCAGCCAGGTCTCCTCAGAAGCCCACTTCCCCTGGGGTCCTCAGATTCCCCTTGGAATGCCCCTGGCCCCGGACTTGGGGAATGGCTGAAACCTTGTCCTTGTACCTGCCCTCACCAGGCCCTCCACCTTCCCTGGCCGCTGTAGGGGTGAGCTTAGGGGTGACGCCGTGCATTTGAGGAATGCCCTGAAGGGACCAATGGTGTCCATTTCCTTCCAGAGCTCTCCCGTGGGACCCTGGGCTGCGCTGGGAGGCCCCCTCTCGGGTCCGCACCCTCCCCTAACACCTCTGCCTAGCTTGGCGGGCCTCCACCGGGTGAGCCCTTACTTGGTGGAGTTCGGCAGAGGTGGGGAAGGCCCGCGGGCATGAGAAACAGCACAGACCTTCCTGCCGGCACCGCACCCCCACATTTGCGGGGATCTGAGAGGCTTTGTGCTGGGACTCTTGGTCCCAGTCGCTGGACTCCGGGACTGGGCAAAGGAGGTGTCTCCTTCTCGGGTTAGGTGCGGTGGGGCTTCCCGGGCTCAGGGTTTGGGTCCTGACGAGGTTGGGGTGGTGAAAAGGCGGGATCCGCATTCCTATTCCGCACCGGTCCAGAGCAGCGGGGCGCGTCCTGCACTCCATCCGCGCACCCCACCAGGAGCGGCCCAGGCCAGGCTGGCAGGCAGGGACCCCCAGCGAGGGCACCGCGCTGCGGCTGGGGGGGGGGCGAGGGCATTTCCCCGCCTTGGGCTGCTCCGATCGGCCCTCGGGGCACTTACCCGCCATGGGGTGTCTCGTCCCGCGTTTCCCGCTGGGGCCTCCAGGCGGGCTTCCAGGGCGCGGCCGTCGGTCTCGGGGCTGCGGGGCAACGACGCGGTCAGCCGTGCAGTGGACGGCGGGGGCCGGGCCCAGCACCCCGAGGCCGGGCTCCTCCCTGGCTTGGCGGTGGCAGACGCCCAGGAGGGGCTCAGCACAGCCGGTCTGCTCGACCCGCGTCCCACAGGGGCGCCCCGCTGGCACCCGGCGACCTAGACGCGCCGCGCCCGCGCTTGGAACGCGCCCCGGCGGCCCTCGCAGGACCTCCACGGCTGCAGTGCGCCCCCTCCAGGCCCAGCTCGGTGCGACCCCGGTGCCAGGAGCCTTCCCGAACCCGAGGCCGGGATCCGCCCGACCCGGGCCCCCGGGCCGCCTGCCCGCGCGCCCCGGGCAGGGACAGGAAACATCGGTCCCAGTACAGGACACGCCGGCGTAGAGAGCGCGACGCTGGAGCGCGCACCTCCTGGGGTGGCCAGCCGTGGTTCGGGACCTTTCTCTCCAGCAGCCGGGCTCCTTCCCTTGGACGGGTTAACGACGGCACCGGCTAGGGTGGATGGGCCGCCTGCCCGAGCGCCCCGGGCAGGGACAGGAAACATCGGTCCCAGTACAGGACACGCCGGCGTAGAGAGCGCGACGCTGGAGCGCGCACCTCCTGGGGTGGCCAGCCGTGGTTCGGGACCTTTCTCTCCAGCAGCCGGGCTCCTTCCCTTGGACGGGTTAACGACGGCACCGGCTAGGGTGGATGGACTAAGGGGTGCTCAGACGGCGAGCCGTGTAAGGGCGCAGCCCTGCCGGCCACTGGAGGGTCATCCCTGCCGGCCACTGTAGGGTCATCCTGGGGCCCCTCGGTCCCCACAGCTCCCGCCATTACGGCGATGGCTCTCAGAACGCAGGGCCCGCGCCCCTCGAAGCACGAGCGCAGCCTTCACGGAGAGGCCCGAGCGAGGATCCTCTCCTCCGCGTTCTCCGTCTGCTCCACCCGGCGACACGAGTGGGAGGAGGCACAGCGGCCCGCAGGAGGCTCTGGGGGGAAGTCCGAGACTTCGAGGCTTCTGGAAGTGGGTTCAGAGGGAAGGCGGGAGGGGAGAGGCGCAGGCGGGGTGGGCCTTGTTTGACAGCTCTCACGGTTGACCAGAGACCGGGACCCTGGGCCTACCCAGGACTGCAAGGGCAAGTGGGAGGGCCAGCTCTGAGGCCGCAGGCTGGTCCTGCCCGAGCTTTGGGTCCCCGAGCCGGCATGGGCCCCTTCCGTTCTTGGGGGCCAGGTCTGGGGCTCTCAGGGCCCCTGTCCGGAGGCAGCAGCCACTCTCCTTCAGGGACTGGGTCCGGGACTCTCTCCCCTCCCCCCTGAGCCTGTTTCCCAAGAGCCATTTTAACTCCAGCCCTGGGAGAGCCAGGACATCCCTCCACCTGCCTCTCTCCCCCAGCAGCCCTGCCCTCCAGGGAGCCGTAGGGGGCCTGCGGTGTCTGGAGACTCTGACTTGTGCTTCCCTGGGGTGTCAGGAAGGGACCTGGAAAACACACACACACACACACACACACACACACACACACACACGTCTTTCAAGCTCCCACCTTTCCTCTCAGGAGTGTGTGTGTGTAAGTTTCCTTTTACTGCTTGCTAGGGTGGAATGTGTCTCCCCAAAATTCAGGTGTGGAATTGGTCACTATCGTGAAGGTATTAAGAGAGTGGAAACTCAACCCATTTTTGCTGGAATTAAGTTAGAATTACATAAAGTCGGCAGGGCGGGGAACCGCTGGCTGAATGGTGGCTTTATGAAAAGAAGAGGAATACCTCAGCCTCTAGCTGCGTGGTACCTGCACTGTCTTGGGGGAGCCCCCACCAGCAAGAAGATCCTAACCAGATGAAACCCCTTTGTTCTAGAGCCCAAAAAGCAGTGAGCTGAATGAACCTTATTCTTCGTGAATTACCCAGCCCGTGATATTCAGTTACCAGCACAACAGAACACAGTGAAACACCGCTGTAACAGACGGCCACAGAGTTAGCGGTTTAGGGCACAAATTTATTCTCACAGTGCTGGGAGTCAGACATCCACAACCTATCTGCAGGACGGGTTCCTCCTGGAGGCAGAGGGGAGGCAGGGGGAGCCAGAGAGGGATAGAAAGGGTCAAAGAGCAGGAAGAGGGGGCAGAGGGGAGGCAGAGAGGGGCAGAGGGGGGCAAAGGGCAGGTGGGGGGGCAGAGGGGAGGAAGAAGGGAGGCAGGAAGGCAGGGGGGACAGAGGGGGGCAAAGGGCAGGAAGGGGGTGGAGGGGAGGCAGAGGGGAGGCCATTTCCTTGCCTTT